AGAACCAACTCTAGGGACCTTAGCATTTGAGGCAATCTGTTCAAACTTATCCGTGAGCTCCTGCGTGAGCATTTTATTTGTCTTATTAGTATTGTTCATGTCCCCACAGTCTATAACTCATCTGCGCACGAGCCAGCAGGTCTGTCTCGCATTTGGACGGATGGTCTCCCGGACCGTGTAAATGCATGTGTGGGTCGCGATTTAGGGCCCATTTGGCACGAATCCGGGCGGCTCTGGATTCTTCCTGCAAAACACTGTGGCGCACTGTTTATGGAATCCAAAACTCTCTCTCTTCTCTCTCCCTCTCACACCAGTGAAGCTAAAATTTTTGGCTCATACAGCTCCATGTGTGTCAGAGAGAGAGACGGAGAAGAGAGAAAAAACAGATTCTAGCAACAGTACATATACAGTGTTTAAGTGATCCGGAGCAGCAGGAATCATACCAAAGACACCCAGGTCTAGTAATACTGTCAGTAGGCGCACTTCGCCGCGCCCGGATTCTTTAGCGCATATGAGGCAGGTAGGCGCGCAAAGTGTTCAGTAGAGCAAAGATATTCATTAACTTAAATATAAACAATAGAGTGAAGTGCTGCTTTATATCAACTGAAATTTGCATTTGTTAAGTCAGACATTGTCACACAAATGTACATGCTTTTAGAGGAAAGGAAAACAGTTATAAACATTATGGAAGGAGAGGCAGTCATTTTGTTGTGACACAAGAACATTCCAAACAGGTATAGAAAAGTACAACTGTAGCAGAAAGAATGGAACCACAACTATTGGCCTATTGCATTCTCTTTTTGCTCTGCCAGTGTTCTCTCCACAATAATCTTTTTCCATCAGCATGTTCAGGTACACCTGAGAACATAATTTTGAAACAACCAAACATTCTTGATTATTCTTTTTCCATCAGCATATTCAGGTACACCTGGTCATTCAAAGTTCAGATGAACAGCTCAAGCTCATTGGCAATAATTTTAGTATGTATAGGGTTGATGATAAGAGCAGAGGAATTCTCATCATCAACATGGTTGATCAAACTATTGCAAGAAACAGCTTAGGAAATAATAATAAATTAATCTATTACCTAATGGTGGAGATCAAGTATGTGCTTATTGTTTTCGTTTAAAATACGTATCTGCTTATTGTGTACCGAGCATATCTTACATGGGAGCTCATATTGCCCAAACAAAAAGTATCTCAACTCTCAAGAGAACTTTGTGAGTAGTTAATTATTTCCCCTTATGATGAGTAGTAGGGCAATGATTCATGTTCAAACTTCACATGACACTTTTCAGCGTACCCAGTACCCAGTGCAGAGAGCTCCCGCTCTGTGCGGGGTCTGGGGAAGGGTGTTAGTGGCAAGCCTTACCATCGCTTGTGCAATGCGAGGAGACCGCGACTCGAACCCGGGACCTTCCGGTCACAGGCGGTAAGACTCTACCGCTTGCACCAGGCCCGCCCTTCACATGACACTTTTCAGCAAAGACGAATAAATCAATCAATTTATCATCCAAAGGAGGAGAGTTATCTTGGCATATTGTGTACAATAAAACTCTATAAGAACCAAAATTACAAAAGAAGAAAAACTGTTCCAGTTAAATTTGCTTTCAATTTGCATCCCGCTTTCTACTCATCTAACTTAATTAAGATCCTATAAGTTTTTTTAAAAAAAAATGTACTGCAGTTTGATCAGTATGCAAAATGTATACCTCCCAACTGTAAGATCGATCCTTAACCTGTTCGTTGCAGAAAATGTTGAAGAATTAGCACCAAACATATATCCATTGATTTTTTAATCAATGATAAATCATCAAACTTGATCAGATATATTGTTTTTACTTTTATTTTTGAAAGGACCACTTGACCCAGCCTTCTTTGGAAGCCATTGTAGGAATCAGGGATCGATCCCTGTCGGGCCAACTCCCACCCTTGGGGCTTAACCGCGTGCTCTATGAGCAGCTCCTTTGTATATTGTTTTTACTCGCTAATAGGAGTATCATTATATATAGAATTCAGCAATCTCTAGATCTATTAGCTATGGACACTGAACAACTGGAAGCCTCCACGGAAGCACTGACTAAAGCTAAAATGGGAAGGGAAAACAAAAGCAGTACACATGCTTGTAGGACAAAGACGAAAAGTAGTGATCTTCATCAGTTCTAAGTGTTGTTCAGCTTAGTACCTGGTAGCCTCATGGGTATTTGTTATAGTCTGCAAAAGATGATTCATCTGAAAACCCTGTAAGGCTATAAGAATTTATATCCTTCACTATTAGATAGTTGGATACATGTAAATCCTAAAAATATTAATAGCAAATAAACAACATACTGCACTATAAAAAATAATAGCACAGAGCATTTCTCAGTACGTAAGGATAGATCAATATTAAAAATATGAGATTACCGACGAGTACTGAAATGGACATGGTGACATGATGCTGAAATGGACATGGTGACATGATGAAGCTAAGTTGCAGTAAGTTTTGCATATAATTCATATACTATATGAGACATTGTACCGGTGTTGTCATGTAAATCAGTTTAGACATGGTGATAGGATTATGGACCTATGCTTGGAAACGTACTTTTCAATGTAATCCTCGTGCACACCTAAGTATTTTTATTTTTATTTTTTGCTTTGATGTTTCACGCTTGGTTCATCCACTAATTTATTAGGACCGCATGCAGTTGGGACTCTATCACAACCTTAACACACAAAAAATACTAAAATTCATAGCACGAACTTGAGAAGTGAAAGGGCCTAACCATATGAAGGAGTATATAGAAAACTCAGCATCAACATAGCAATTCGTTGGGCCATTGGGTCCTGCAAAAGAATCGGTTAGCAATGTTTGGTATGAACTCAAAATATGCACAGACCAACAGGGACACCATGTTTGAACCTTGAGACCAAAGGCATTGAAACCAGGGTCCCTCCATACAACCATGAAGAGATGGTGCTGCAACTACTCACATGAAATCGTTCTGACACTCCGCAAATAGAGTTTTCCTTGACTGCAACGCCATTGGCATGTAACATTGCTTGAACATGACACATATAGTCAGTTTTAGTGTTCAATCCAGGCTTCATAAAGCCAATCTAGGTGATGGAACCTGGGAATCTGAGGCTAAACCGAACCACAAGTTCATGATAAAAAAAAGGCATGCATCCTGAACATAAATTTTCTAGTTCAATGTCAGAACTGAATTTATATGTGCCAGCATTCCCATCTCTGAGATTTGTGCTGACCTCTCTGCGATTAAACCTGAAAGGAGAAATCAAGCCGTCAATTCCTTCCATGCAAAATGACACGCGAGAACCTAACCTAAGTCCTGATCTTTCCTTTATGTGATTTTGTGGTCATGTACACACGCTGCATCCTCCATTAGTAATGCAGATTAGTTATTTACACAAAGCAAGCCATAGTAGCGTGCTGCATAAAAAATGGCAATAATAATGAATTATTGCTAAAAACAGGATGCAAAATATGGAACAAAAAAAAGTGAGCCCTGATTTTAGGCCACGCATTCCATTCTGCAGATCCTACTGAAGAAAAATATTATTGGACCGAGGTTATTGACAAATCTCCAAATTAAGATGAATGTTTGACCTAACAATAAGGTTATAATAGCCTATCAGCTAAGGTCACCTTATTGGAGAGGACCGGGAGGCCTCATTGGGTGAACAGTAGGACCAGGAGCAGACGAGCATCAATCCTAAAAGAGACATGTTTGTAGCACCTTGAAAAATTCATTCTAATCTTGGTCGCTGAATGAAAAGAAAGAAGGAAACAATAGCATTCCATGGATAAATTTCTAGAAGAAATCTACTAAAATCCACTGCACGTGCTGGTATCACCAAGGATGCTAACTAATCCTCACATGACTGAGTCATTCCACGTTGATTATCCTTATCTAATTCCATGACTCTTTGGTTGTTCGAGAGCACATACCAAATGGCGAGGGTTCTCGCAGAGGAGGACGTGGCCAAGGCCGGCGCTGGTTCGTGCCTGCTGTTGTAGGCAGCGCGGTTCGTGGAGGTCTCGAGGTCGTGGCGGCGGAGTGCTCGTGGACGGAGGTCGCCATGGTCGAAGGAGACATACGCAGGGTACGAAGCGACTACTGCAGAAGGTCGTAGGATAGGAGACCATGAGGCAACCTTCATAGTGCGTAGGACCCAAAAAAATTCTGCACATCCGCCTGAGCGTGTTATATGGAATTGAAGAACAGAGCAAAGGACAGAAAGAGCGGCGGAGCTACGCCGGCCAAGCAAAAACGGTGCGTCGGAGGTCCAGATCTGCACGAAAGCGAGCGAGCGCTAAATAGTAGGGAGGAACAGATGGGTGGCATCGCTCACCATGGTTGCAAGCTCGGGGTGGGAAGCCGCTCCTCGGCTGGTTGGTTCGGCAAACCGTTAGGCTGGCCGCCGCCCGCCGCCGCCGAGGGAGAGGAAGAAGAAGCGGTCCACGTCGCATCCTCCGTCATCTCCGGCCGCCGCCGTAGGTAGGGAGAGGAAGAGGAAGAAGAAGCACGGACGGAAACGGCGACGCTAGAGTCCGGGTGAGGAATTCTTTTTTACTTTGACGGACGGAGAGAGCGAGGGTCAGTAGGAGGGCCCGCCCAATTAAAGGAAGCGAGACCAAATCGAGGATTACACACACGAGTCCACGGGGCTGCATACGATTGGTGAATAGTAGGAAAACAGTAATCAGATTGCTCTCAACGCGTGGATTCTACACACGCACGAGTCCACGTGGCTGCATACGATTGATGAATAGTAAGAAAACAGTAACTAGATCGCTCTCAATGCGCGGATTCTAGGAGCTATATGGAGTTTCATATACAGCCATAGAGCCGAAGCATGATAATCGCAAATAATGGCAAACACATACAACAAGCTGATAAGCGTACAAACTAATAATATCCCGACACGTCGCCACGGTATGACACAGACACACATACAACAAGCTGATAAGCGCAAACCATGCATGTTCGCAATCAGCGTTCAGCAGCCTCAGCCGAGCAAGCTAATGGCAGCTCATGTTCTTTCCACTTAGCGACGACGGCCTTGAACGCCCTGCGCGACGGCCCGTCCGGCGCCCAGGCCTTCGCGGCGGTCTTCTGGAGCTCACGCGCCTTCTCCCGCGCCGCGGCGCCCTTGTGCCCCGCAATCAGCTCCCTTGCCACGGCCGCTACCTCCTCCCGCGGCACTATCCCGTCGTCCCTGATGCTGCCCTTGCTCGGCCGCAGCGCCAGCCCCGCGCGCTCCGACAGCATCACGTCGTTCATCCTCTGCTCGGCATACAGCGGCCACGCGAGCGTCGGCACGCCCGCGGTCACGGCCTCAAGCGTCGAGTTCCACCCGCAGTGGGACAGGAACCCGCCGACGGAGCGATGGTTCAGGATCTCCACCTGCGGCGCCCACAGCGGCACACAGAACCCGACGCCTCTGGTCCTCTCGACGAACCCCTCCGGCAGGTACCTCAGCGGGTCGTCGCCGTGTTCCGCCGTCCCAAAGTAGCTCGCGCTGCAGTCCTTGTCGCTCGGGAACCGCACCACCATCAGAAACCTCTGCCCGCTCGCCTCGAGACCGGCGGCCAGCTCAGTCGTCTGCTTGTTGGACAGCGTGCCGCCGCTGCCAAGGCACACGTACAAGACGGACGCGTCCGGCTGCTCGTCCAGCCACCGTACGCAGCCGTGCTTGTCGGCCTCTCCGCCGGAACCGGAACACGGCCGGACGAAGGGGCCCACCGCGTACGCCGGAGGATACACGCCCTTGTCGGAAAGCTCTTTGAACGCCACCAGAGTCTCGTGCTCCATGGCGTCGAAGGTGTTGACGATGAAGCCCTGGGCTAGACGCTGATTCTCCCCAAGCTCGACCATGAGCCGGTACGCAGGGTCGCTGCGGTTTTGGATGGGGTCCAGGAGGTCGGCGCCGCGCAGCGGCACGCACCCCGGCAGGTGGACGGGCTCCGGGAGGTCGCGGAACTCGCAGGTGGTGGTCCTGTCGAGTTCGGGGACGTGGAGCATGCAGGACAGAGCCATGAGATTGGTCGTGCAGAACAGGTAGCGCGGGACGCCCAGCTCCACGGCGACCTGGAGCGCCCATGGGCTGAGGAGGTCCGCGACGAACGCGGCCACGCCGGACGGCGACTCGAGCAGGGAGCGGAGGAGGTCCCGGAGCTGTGGGAGTGCGCGCTTGACGACGGTGAAGATGCGGGTCTCCACGCGGGCGTCCGCGGGGAGGTCACCCAGCGGCACCTGGGGGAGCACGGCGGTGGAGACGGACGGCGGGAGGGAGGCCAGCGTGGAGTAGAGGAAGGCCGACGAGAAGTTGGTGTACGTGACGAGCGTGGCCGTGTACTCGGCACCGCCGCCGTGAGCGACGATGCGGCGCGCGAGCTCGGCCACGGGCAGGAGGTGGCCCGTGCCGGGGCTCGCGAGAAGCACGACGTGAGCAGCTCTTTTTTTGGTCGTCGTCGCGGCCTCCTTCCCCATGGAAGCGCTCGACAGGTCTGACTGTGTTAACGGGTGAAGTGTTACCACAGTTAGGGTTGCTGCAGCTCAGGTAGCCTGCTACACTGCACAAGTGCACATGCAATGCATAGGGTCGCAGCAGTGGATGTGTATAAGTAGAGTGCGAGGATGGATGCTCTGCGAGACGCCGAGACTGCGAGGCATTCACTACGTGTGCTGTAGTGATTGATACGACTGATGCCAACTGCTCCTGGCAGCCTAACAGCCCACGATGAGGCAGAGGACATGTTCATTCAAACCCTGACCACTGCTGATCACTGTAGTACCTTGAATTGGTTAAACTGCTATCTCATAACCTTAATCTCACTCGAGTACCGTTCACGTATATATGTTGTCCATTTTTTTAAACAAATTATCGGTGCGAAATAGTAAATATTTGTCGTTTTGCCGTACGTTGTGATCGGATGTGGCCTAGCACTCAATGGCACAGGGTTTATACTGGTTCAGGCAACGTGTCCTACGTCCAGTTTAAGTCGGTCGGTGACTTTATTCCTGAGCCCAGGTGCTCGAAGTTTGCTGTGGGGTTACAAACGAGGGAGAGTAAAATGAGGGTCGTAAGAGGTCCGGTCGGAGTCTGGACTGAAGGGCTGAGAGTGACGGGAGCTCCTACGCGCGCTGAGTATTCGAGTGTGTGCTCTGTGTAGCTTTAGAGTGTCTAAAGCTAGCAGAGAGTGAATCGTAGTGATCCGTCTGTTGTTAGAATCAATCCTTGATCGTTTGGATTGTCGGATGTTCGAATCGTCCTCGTTTTGGAGAGAGTGCATCCCCTTTTATAAATGAAGGGGACGACCATACAAGAGAGAGTGTGAGAGAGAAAGAGAGTGTGCGTGCTACCTAGTCTTGTTGCCCACGCCGTCGGGTATAAGGCGGTTTGTCGGCGCCCACAACACTGTGTGTGCACCTTGGTGATTTGGGCACCTGTGGGTGTAGCCCCCGAGCCCCCGGGTGATTCGGGCAGAATCGCCTGGGGGATTTGTCAGTGGACGTGTGTGTGTGCACCTTGTTGGGCGTAGCCTCTTCTTTCCAGTTTCTGACCCATCGTTTCCAGGAGTGCGGTCCCAGGCGTTTTGGTCGCGGCCAAGGGTTCGGGTGAGTCGAAGTCACGGATTCGAGGATCAAGCGAGTCGGAGTCGCCAACCAAGGCGTCAGGCGCAGCCGAGGGATCGGGCGAAACAGAGTCACGGATCCGGGGATCGGGCGAGTCAGAGTCGCCAACCAGGGCGTCGGGCGCAGCCGAGGGATCGGGCGAAACGAACTCACGGATCCAGGCGTCGGGCGCAGCCTAGGGATCGAGCGAATCAGAGTCGCGGATCCGAGGATCGGGCGAGTCGGAGTCGCCAACCAGGGCGTCGGGCGCACCGAGGGTTCGGGTGAGACGGGCTCACGGATCCAGGAGTCGGGCGCAGCCGAGGGATCGGGCGAGATGGACTCGCGGACCTAGGCGTCGGGCGCAGCCGAGGGATCGGGCGAATCGGAGTCATTGATCTAGGTGCTGCACGCAGCCAAGGTCGTGCCGAGGTGTTGGGCGTCCCGAGTCCCTGGTTGAGTTTCGTACGTTACCCCGTCCGCGGTTTTCGTAACCGGAGGAGCTGAGCTAACGTCGCTTGCCTCGATGGCTCGAGTGAAGCGCTCGGTGAGCTCGCTAACGGGTACGTTCGAGTGAAATCCGGGTCCGTCATTCGTGACGGGGTCGACATAGCCCTCATGTGGCATTCCACTGCTCCTTGACCCGTGTCTCGGCAGATGCCCGGGTTGTTCCGGAGACCGACCCAGGTGGCCCGCTGGCCTCCCCTCGATGGAGATTCTATGGGTATGACTCGAGGTTAGGATCGAACGAGGAGGTTGAGATGACCCTATCCGCTTTGGAGCAGACTGGGCGAGGGCCACTGGGGCTCATCTGCGTTTTCTCCCCTGGCTCTGTTTGATGCGAGGCAGCCTCGAGCCCTTTGTGGGCCAGCCTTCGAACCCTAGTCGATCGTTGCTCATGTTGAATGAGGCAACTGCCGCTTCGTGATGCAACACGGAGCGTTGTGATGCATCAGTTGCATATGCGATGCTTCGGATGTATGGGATGAATGAATGACTTGTATGAATGAATGCGTGTATGAATGTATGAATGATAGCAGATGAATGAATGATCATATAAAGAAATAGTGGGGGTTGGTATTGTTACCTTGATGGCTCGAGTGATGGGGTTTGAGGAGCTCCTATTGGATATGTCCGATCGGGATCCACGTTCCTCGTTCGTGACGGAGTCGGCATGGCTCACATGGGGCGTCTCTCTGCTCCTTACCTATCTCTCGGCGTTTGCCTAAGCCGTCCAATCGACTCAGGAAGCCCATTGGTTTCTCCTGGGCAAAGATCATGTTGTTGGGCCCTTCTAGGTCCTACCTGGGAAGGCGGAGGGCCGCCTGCGTGTGGTTGCGCCTTGTTTCCCGCACTTGGCGTGTGGTAGTGGTGGGCCATGCCTAGGCCACGTCCCATCTATCCAGACGTTGTCTCGTCGGGCAGGGTGCATCCCATCGGTCAAGACGCGTCCCACCGCATCCCATCTGCATTGAATGGGGGAAGGGAAAGGGTTTTTCGCCCCAGTCGTTTGCCTTTCCCCAACTGTTGCACCTCCTCCTTAAATAGGGGAAGGGAGAGGGTTTTCGTCCCGTTCCTTTGCCTATTCCCCAACTGTCGCCTCTCCTCCTTCTTTCTTCTCGCCAAGAGCGTTCGTGTGCCGCGGCGGTTCCTAGGAGAGAGATTGTAGAGCGAGGGAGAGGAGAAACTCATAGATCCGTTCATGAATTCGGAGCGCAATGTCGAGCTGGAGGTCATCTTGTGTGAGTGAGTCGGTGCTGGCCACCTTCGCCGAGAAGGGGGTGCTGCCGCCGAAGGACGTGGCGCACTGGAGGGCTCCCGTCGGAGAGGATTTTCTATGACCTTGGGCCGGCGAGGTCGTCTCCTTCCTCGCCTTCCATGAGCGTGGGCTAGGATACCCGCGCACTGGTTCCTACGCGGGCTCCTCAATGAGTGGGGCCTGGAGCTGCAGCACCTCAATCCGACTAGGGTGCTGCACATCGCCAGCTTAATCACCGTCTGTGAGGCCTTCCTCGGGATGGAGCCACACGTGGACTTCTTCCGGCGGCTCTTCTTTGGGCGAGCCTTGTCAGAGGGGGACACGCCCAGGACCGCACCGGTGGGGGGCTTCGCCTTGCAGAAGAAGCCCAGTGCATTAGGCACCTACCCTGCGTACACCACCTGTGACTCCAATCGGGGGTGGCATGGGGAGTGGTTTTACATCAGGAACCCGACGGAGGCGCCGTTCCCGCCATTCACCGATAGAAGGCCAGAGAGGCGGGACAGCTGGTCGTGGGGCCCTTCCAGCCAGCAGAACAAGCTAGAGATCATCGAGGTGGAGCTCTAGAAGTTGGTGCAGCAGGGCCTCAACGGGCTATGGGTGTTCCACACCTTCTTCCGCCATCAGGTTGCCCCGCTGGCGGAAAGGACGTGGCCGATGTGGATGTACACCGGCCCGATGGACCCCAACCACGCGTCGTCGGAGGAGTTGGCGAAGGACGAAGTCTGGAGCTGACTCGACCACGTGTTGCGGCGGAGGGCCAAAGAGACCCTCAAAGGAAAGCCTAGAGCTCTTCACGCTTTGAAGTTGTCCAACCGGGTACGTTCTCCTCTCCTTATTTTGTGTCCCTTTCAATCCTGCTCTCCGGTAATCTTGACTTCGAGTCATCTGTTTCATAGGGACTCAAACGTTACAAGTCCCGGCCGCATCTTCCAAAGGGGATGAAGGGCGTGGCCCGGCAAGCTACCCTGAAGGAGGCAGCGGTCGTGAAGAAGAAGAGAGCTAAGAAGGCTCGGAGGAAGCACGGGAAGGAGCTGGAGATCGCCCGGTGGGTGCGGGCCATCGAGAATCGGAGCGACGTCGAGGCGGAGCTTGAGTCAGAGGACCCCACAGAGATGGGTGATGACGTGATCTCCTCCGAGGATGAGGGAGGCCGAGAGGTCGTCGTGACCTCGGCGGAGCGTCATGAGCCTGTGGCCACGTCTACTAGCGGTGGACAGGATGTGGAGAGGCGCGGTGATGTTCCCATGCCAAGGAAGCCTGCCGCCAGCTCGGACGCCGTCGGTGAGCGGGAGGCGAAGTGGACGCGGTCGCCGTGGCCTTTGGAGGTGTCGCCGGCCTTGTCCCCACTTGCTCCGGGCACGGCGGGGTAGGCCAGGCAGTCGGAGGAGCAGGCTTGCACCTTCGTAGCATCGGGGCCGGTGCCGGCGCGCGACCCACAATAGGGGGATGCCCCGCCAGCTGCTCCGGTCGACGCTCCTCGAGCCGACGATCGCGGTGACTCACGAGCCAATCGGGAGCCGGCCGAGTTGACTCCCCTCCCCGGTCGAGGTGAGGGGGCGTGGCTCGCGACCTATGAGCGGTCCTCGTCCGGTGGGCCCGTTCCAGTGGGTCGGGGCTTTAGAGCCCTGCCGCTTGCATCCCGCTAGGCTTTCTTTGTTTCTTTTTGATCTCATAGTTGAGTTTTTTAGAGTGCGACTGACCCGTACCTTTCTGACAGTGGCCAGATGCTGATGGGACTGAGCATTGCCCCAACTCCCGTGTGGGTGGAGTGGACCCCTAGCCTGCATCGGGCCACGCGTGAGCGGTGGGGAGAGCAGGCGCGTCCTTCCCCTACGGGGGTGGTGCCTTCCTAGTCGGTCGCAAGTACGGCGGTGGCGGCGACAACAGTGTTGGCGGTGATCCCGGTGACAACGGCGGAGGTTGGGTGAGAGGTGACCCTTGCGGCCCCTCCCCCAACAGTCATGGTGGAAGAGAGGAGGGAGACCGGGCTCCCTGCCTCATTCGGTGGAGGGACGCACGGCTCTCCCTCCCGGTCGGAGCCAAAGGTGTCGGGGGGAGACGAGGCCAGGCTGGAGGCGGAACGTCCACCGGTGGGACGTGAAATTGAGATAGT